TATACTTTTCGGGAGGTGAGTGGTACTTCTTGGATAAATTTTATATTCCCTTCTTTTGGAGAGGAGCATTCTACTTATGGAGGGTTTACTTTTGGCGGGGGGCGTTGAGTTACACCTTATGTTTTTACAAGTTTCACTTCTCTGATGATGTCAAGTGCATGCCTTTCTCCAACCAATCTTCCCCATTGCAATACTTACAAATAATCACTTAACAGATGTCAAGTTTATTCGTTTGTTTTTCTCCCCCTCACTAATTTTTCAACTGTGACTGAATCTCTTTGATTTTTTTTCTCCATGGGTGGACTGAGAGTTAAGTTTGTGTTGATTTCTCTTTTTGTTTTGTAAATGAATTTATTGTTTGGGAAACTCTATGGCGGTTTGAGGTCTCTTGATTAATTCCAACCTCTTTTCTTTTGAAGAACAATCTACTTGAAGTGTTTTATACATTTTCCTCATTTTTGTTTGTTGTGTCTCAATTTTGATGTACTGTATTTTATTTCCTTTTAAAACCTGATCTCTTCTTTAATCTTTTGATGTTAAACCATTCTAAAAGTTTTTATTTTATAACTTCAGCATTTTGTACATTTCTTTACCCCTCCCCAACCCCCTTTGCACTCCAGCCTCCTCCATCTCAGAACCCCCTCCGCCAACTTCTGCAATTCCTAGCTTCAAATTTGACTCACCCTCCCAGCGAGAGAGGGATGCCTGGGAAGAAAATGTGCTACTTGGATCAGAGCCTATATTCTGGATTCTAGTTCTGGGCACCTCTAGTTCGACACTCCCTCCCCCGACCTAAGCCAGCAAAATCAGGGAAAGCAGAATTTCTCTTCGACTTTTTAGTCTGAGAGTAAGTTTTTTCTCCATGGCTCTATTCTGGGCAACTCTTTGGTACATAAAGTTGAATTTTAAATTCTTATCTTTTCCGTAAATTCTAAGAAAAGCACAAGAAAATATTTTTCTCCCCCAAGTATAAGCTATTAGCTTGAGGAGAGACTGTTGGGTCTCTTACCTCTTGAGAGAGGATTCCCAGAAAAAACAAACAATGTTTACTCCCCCTTTTACGTGTGATTAAGGTAGAGGTGGCGGGGATTGGGGAACCCCATTTTGATCTCTGTTATAGCAGATCACTTCTGGCCAGTGAGGTCTGGCTTAGGAGAGTTTGGGATACATCCCAGCTCTGAAGACATTCTTTTTAGTGAAATAAACCATTTAAATGGCATGATATGGTTTCAGCTCCTTCAGATTCATTGCAGGCACAAAAACAAAATTACGAGAGTAATCTGTGTCCCGAAGATCTGCCTCTGGTGACTTTTGTTCAGTCCTCTGAGGGAAATGGAACTCAACTGGGCAGAAGTAAAACTGCCACTGCTCCTCCCCTCCTGGGGCTCCAGCGTCATTGTCACATTGACATTCCGGGCACATTCAGCCCAGCCCCCCAACCCAGCTTCTCCCAAGTATGAATCTAAATTACTATTAATAAGGGACCGCTCCAAGTTAATTGGCATTAAAAGAATTCATTTCAATTTGTTAATATTAAATGAATGCTCTGCACTTTAGCTCCCTTCTTCGCTCCGGAATCCCAGATGAGTGATGGGAAATGGGGTGGGGGAGTCAATGAGGATTTTATTTCTGACTCTCCAGCTTAGCCACTGTGGTGCCTCCCCTGGGGGCGGGAGATCAAGGCGCAATGGGGGCCTGATTGGAGAATGTCTGATAGTTTCTTCTGGTGAAATTCATCTGATAGAGCTGGAGCTTGGGGGAGGGCAGAGGGGTGAAGAGGGAGAGGAACAGAAAGATTTGGGGGACATTGTGGAGGAGAGGAGGGACTAGGGGAAAAGCGGGGAGGGAAAGGGACAGAAATGGACAGAACCAGGATTGTGGGCTATGGGGGGTAACACAGATTTGTGAAGGATGGTGCTGGTAGTTCAAAAACCCATCTAGAGCAGGAGGAGCTGGGGGTGAGGGTGGGGTGTGAGGCAAAGCAGCTAGGGGTTCTGAAGCTCTCTGAGCTGTGTGACTTTAGGCAAGTTGCTTAACCTCTCTGTGTTGTTTCTTGACCTGTAAAATTGGGATAATAATAATAGTATCTATCTCAGGGGGTTTTTTGAGTCTAGATGAAATACATGTAATGTGTTTTCCACAGTGCTTGGCACATAGAAACTACCAGTAAATGTTAGCTTTTTTCACAGCATAGTAGTTGGAAGCATGGATTCTAGAGCCAGACTGCCAGCTTTTGACTCTGAGCCCTGCCTTATACTAGCTGTGTGACCTTGGGCAAGTAAACCTCTCCATACTTCAGTTTCCTGTCTGTAAAACAGAGTTACTAGTACCTAGTTCATAGGCTATTGTGAGGGTTAAATGAGTCAATATATGTGAAGTGCCTACAACAGTGTCAGTTATGTAGGAAGCCCTATATAACCATCAATTATTATTGCTGTTGCTTTTCTGGTCTGGGAATGTTGGAAATAGGGGCATGGAACCTCTTAAAAGGTTGAGAGCTCAACAGATTCTCTGAGACTGTGATCATATCCTCCCTCTCCCCCCATCCCTGAATTTGGTCTAACAATTGGGGTACATGGGGTAAAAGCAGGGGAGAGTGAGATACAGGGCCCTGGGAGCTGGGACACCTGAATTCTTCCCTGGCCTCTGCTCTGGCTCTTGGTGATCCATTTCCAGTGCCTACAGACTTCAGGAGAGGTCATTGCTTTTTTCCCTGGGAGGACTGTGATGGGAGAACTACTTTCCTGGTCTAATAGAAAGCTCCCGATGGTAGAGAGTTAGTCCCTGGAGTGTGGGGCGGGAAGATAGGGTGGGGCAGAGGAGACTGACATTTACCAAATACCCTCTAACTATGGACCAGTCCCCACATACCTGACCTCACATACGGTCAAAGAGATGAAGTGACTTGCCAAAGACAAAAAGCTAGAAAGTAGGAGAGTTGAGATCTGAATGATGGCAAATTTGCCTGATAACAAATCTTAACTCCTTTCCATTGCTACACACTTGATGAAGGGTAAGGTGGGACATAGGTAAAGTTGGGACCAAGATGAGGCCAGGACCGTAGGGCAGCTGGAGGATGGTGGGGGCGCGGGTAGGAATGAGGGTGGGAAGAGGCCAAGAGGGAATGTTTTAATCAGAGAAGACTTCCTGGAGGAATGTTTTAATCAGAGAAGACTTCCTGGAGGAGGAAAGTATAGTTCAGGGTTTGGATGGGAAGGGAATGAGGATAGAGAGTAAAGAAGAGGGAGGGAGTGGTGCATTGGCAAAGAAGGAGAAGAAAGGGCCATTCAAAGGCTGGGTGAGGACATGAATCCAATATGCCTGGGGTTTGCCTTGGATTTGCCTTGCTGGCACCAAGTAAAATCAGTTACTATTTATTGAGGGCCTACTGTGTGCTAGGTATATACGTTATCCCATTTAAAGCTCACAACAACCCTGACAACTGGGTTTTTTGTTCCTATGTCCAAAAGAGTCAAGGCTCAGAGAACTTAATTTCCACTTCAGGTCACACATTTGGTAACTGGGTTTCCCTGGCACCAAAACCCATGCCTGAGCTGCCTGCAAAGCATGTCTTGCCTTCCATTCCTAGTTCAGGTCCTCCTGCACCCCCACGTTTATAGTCCCATCTAGTGACTGGAGATAGGTGTTATTAGGATGAAACCGAGCAGGGTGGCTGGCAGGCAGTGGAGATAGAAGCCTTTCTCACATCCTTTGAAGAAGATGAATAGAAGAGTATTCTCTCTGGAGTGAGGCCTCCAAGTCACTTTCTTGGGACTGCTGATCTTGGTATGGACGAGAGGACCTCACTGAGGGTCACATTATTTTCTGGGCTGTGGACTCTGAGAGGGGAAGGGAAGAAGGCAGCTTAGGTGTGGGTTTAAGCCCTGGATTAAGACTGCCAGTTGTTCACGAAAGTCCTTTCTCTCCTTGTTGCATGAGGACAGAGAGCATCCCAGCTGAACACTCCACTTCCCAGCTGCCCTTGATGCAAGGTGTGTCCAAAGAGGAATATGAGCCAAATGATGTCATCAGAGCCTTAAGATGTTGGGTAAGTTCTCCTTTTTATGAGCCAGAACAGATGTACCTGAGACTGAGCTTTGACTGCAGTTGAGGAGAAATCCCTGAGAGAGGGTAAAGCAACAATATGATAGGAACCCAAGGCCCTGCTGTCTGCTCTCTGGGACTGCTCCCTTTCAGACGGTTATGTGAGAAATAAACTTGTTTTCTATATGTGACTGTGGTTTGGACTCTTTTGTTATAGTACTTTTGCCATCATCCTTCCTAATTAATACACCTTCTCACACTATATTTATCAGTTCAAACCCACCAGCAGGATTATATCGGATCATGGAATAATTGTAATAATAACATTTATTGAGTGCCAGAGATGCCGTACATTTTTTAAAATTATCCTCATGATAGTCCTTCGAGGATAATTGAAACTATTATTTCAACTTACAGGTGAGGAAACTGAGGCCCAAAGGAGATAAGTGATGTGCCAATGG